ACATCACGCCCCTTCTTCAGTTGCTCCCAAAAGACCAGATTCTGGCCTTCAACATCCTTCCCATTGCAACGCCCACCATGCCAGCTTCATCTGTGTTCCCCATGTTTTAGTCAACTGGTATTTTCTTCTAGCCACAACACCTGTTTTCTCATTTTTGCATCTTTGCTCACACCACTTGTAGACTGCCCTCCCCTTCCTACTCTGTATCCCTGGTCTCTGCTTATTTTAATTGTAAATAACCTCCAAATATAATATCTCTTCCATGAGCCCTTCATTTACATAGTTCAGTTTCACTATATATTGATCTAAGTATACATCGAATATAGATCTATTTTGCCCTTGGCTACATGGGTGTGGGAGGAGATGAGTTTGAGATGATATTGAGGAATCTTGGAATCTAAAAGCACCTTAAAGATCATCTAATTTAGTGGTTACTAATGGAGGAATTTCTTTTTTTTTAAAAAAGCATGACTTACTTTTTTAATTGATTTCAGAGAGAGGAAGGGAGAGGGAGAGGGATAGAAACATCAATGATGAGAGACTCATTGATCAGCTGCCTCCTGCATGCCACCTACTGGGGATCGAGCCTGAATCCCAGGCATATGCCCTGACCAGGAATCGAACCATGACCTCCTGGTTCCTAGGTCATCTCTCAACCACTGAACCACACAGGCCAGAACAAGTGAGTGCAAGGAAGCAGGAATGAAACAAAAGGAACAAGAGAGGGAAAGTTTCTTTGAAGATTTTAACTAGAAGCTTAACCAATGAGTCCTTCAGGATATTGCACGCTTGCAGTTGCTCAACCCCTCTAGCCAATTCATAGTTCCCAGGCTAGACTGACAGGCATCTCCCCTACTTCACCCCGACTTCACTGCTCATGCGCCCATCTTCCCCTTTGTTGGACCTCTGGCCCCAGTTATTTGCAGGGAAGGGACCTGTGGTTCCCTGGGGGGTATAAAATTACAGCTTCCTGGTAAAGATGCCCAGTAACTATGCTTACAATGTCTGGCCTCCCCTTTGCTTTCTTCCTATTACTCATATTAATAAACTAGTTACAATGTAACACGTGGATCAAGGAGAAGAACTGGAAGGGATTATTTTCTCCCTAAGTGCATCAGTTAACTATTGCCATGAAAAAGGAGGAGAAGCATTTTTTAAAAAGAAGAAAAAGAAATTGCATTTAAAAAAAAAGAAAGAAAGAAAAGAAAAACAAGATTCAGTGGCCTCAAATAACAATCAGTTATTCTTACTGATCTTATTTAGCTCAGCTTATCTAAACTGGGTTTGTCTAGGGTGACTTGGCTGTCTGCCATGTTTCCCTCATCCTCCTCTTGGGATCGTCAGGCCAGTCCAGGCTTGTTCTTCTACTGGCAATGGCCACAGCACAGGACCACAAGCAAGGACTCGCAAGGTCTCTTGAGGTCTAGTGTTTGGAGCTGGTACACCAGCACATCTGCCTCATTTCTTTTATTGTGGTCAGATACACACAAAATAAAGTTTACTGTTTTAACCATATTTAAGTGTACTGTTGAGTAGCATTAATGACATTCATATTATTGTGCAGTCATCATGCTCTGCATCTCCACCATTTTTCATCATCCCAAACTGAAACTCTGTACCCATTAAATAATAATTCCCCATTTCCCCTTCCCCCAGCCCCTGGCAATCACTATTCTATGAACATGACTACACTATGTATCTCATATAAGTGGAATTATATATACAATATCTATCCTTTTGCGTCTGGCTTCTTTCACTTAATGTTTTCAGGGTTCATCCATGTCATCACATGTATCTGATTTTTGTTTGTCCACCCATTGATGGACATTTGGGTTGTTGTCATCCATTGGCTACTATGAATAATGCTGCTACGAACGTTGGTGTAAAAATACCTGTTCGGGTCCCTACTTTCAGTTCTTTTGGGTACATATCCAAAAGTGGAACTGCTAAATTATATGTGTAACTTTTTGAGGAACTGTCATATTGTTTTCCACAGCGACTACACCTTTTTACATTCCCAACCGGCAATGTACAAGAGTTCTAATTTCTCCGCATCTTTAACACCACTTTTTATTTTCTGTTGTTGGATTTTTTTTATAACCATCCTAATGTCTGTAATAATTAGTGATGTTGAGCAGGTATCTTTTCGTGTGCTTATTGGCCATTTGTATATCTTCAGAGAAATGACTGTTCAATTCTTTGCCTGTTTTTTAATGTGGTTGTTTGTGATTGTTATTTTTGTAGGAATTATTTATATATTCTGGATATTAATGCCTTATCAGATCTATGATTTACAAACATTTTCTCCCATTTTGTGAGTTGCCTGTTCAATCTGTTGATAAGTGTCCTTTGCACAATAGCTTTCAATTCTGATGATCTCCAGTTTATCTAATTTTTCTTTTGCCATCTGTGCTTTTAGCATCATTTCCAAGAAATCTTCACCAAAGCTATTATCATGAAGCTTTTCCCCTAAGATTTTTTTTTTTACTTTTAACTCTTAGTTTTAGGTTTTTGACCCATTTTGAGTTAATTTTTATATGTGGTGTCAGGTAAGTATTCAACATTTTTTGCATGTGGATGTCCAGTTTTCCTCGCACCATTTGTTGGAAAGACTGTCCTTTCCCTATTGAATGCTCTTGGCCCCCATTTTGAAAGTCATTTGACCATATCTGCAAGAGTTTATTTCTGGGGTTTCTATCTATCCCATTGGTCTATATGTCTGTCTTTATGCCAGTACCGTACTCTTTCAATTACTGTGGTTTTATACATTTTAAAATCAGTAAGTGTGAGACCTTCAACTTTGTTCTTCTGGTTAAAAATTGTTTTGACTCCTTGGGATCTCTAAAGATTCCATCTGAATTATTAGATAGATTTTTCTATTTTTGCAAAAGAACATCATCAGGATTTTGATAGCCATTGAATTGAATCTGTAGTTCACTTTGAGGACTATTGACATTGTAACAATATTAAATCTTTCAATCCATGAACATGAGATATCCTCCCATTTATTCATGTTTTCATTTCTTTTAGCAATGTTTTGTAATTTTCAATGTACAAGTCTTTCAACTCCTTAGTTAAGCTTATTCTTCAGTATTTTATTCTTTTTGATGCTACTGTAAGGAGAATTGTTTTTTTCTTAATTTCCTTTTCAGATTGTTTATTGTTAGTGTAACACCTAACTCACTTTATTGGCCAAAGTAGTCACATGGCCAAGGTCAGGAAGGAGGTGGGGAAGTACAGCGCACCCATCATGGGAGGGCACTGCACAGTTACATGGCAGAGGGAATCAATACAGGGAAGAGTAAAGAATTGCTCCTGTAACACTATATCCTATACTGAGCTTCCTATGCAGATTTTAGCATTACTTTTCTGGGGCCCTTCTTCAGAGTGGTCTGTTCCAACCCCTTCAACCTACACAATTACAATGAAAATGTAAAAGCAGAAAGAAAGGGCAAGGTGCTAAAAGGAGTGAGCAGACAAAGGATGTAGGTAACAAGGTGCCTACGTAATGCTGGTGCCCAGCTGAACAAGTACACACGGCAAGGGATCAGAAGGCCTGTTCGTTGACCTTGGGAAGGTCCCTTAACATCTCTGAGCCCTGGTTTCCTCCTCTGGAAGTGGGCTAAATGATATCTAAGGGCCTTTCCTCTGTTAAATCTGCCTCCTATACCAATCCTAATAGTGCTGCCCAAGAATAGAAAACAAGCCAACACTAGAAAATCCCTTTTCTTTACAGACCCATAGGCACACACATCCATGCAGATGGCCATCTATGTGTGTCATAGATCTCATCATTTTCTGCTTTGTATTTCAGTTTTATTAGCGTGCTTTTTTTTATACTCTGTCATTGGCTATTTTCTTGCAAGAGGAAAGATAATCTTAACTGTCCCCAGAATAGTAGTTACCAATAGATTTTTTTTAACTGAAGGAAATCCTCTAATATTTTAATTTTTAATGACTTATCATGTGTTTTAAACTTCCAAGTAAATTTTCAGTGGAAGCTAAGTTGCTGGGAGCACAACAGCAAATTCAGCAAGAACTCTGAAATGAGAGGAAATGAGTTTTCTCTCACAACCGCTCAGTTTATTTTACTAATTCTATGCTACAAAGCCTTTAGTTGATACGGTATCTCCGTTTAATATTTTGGAATTTTAATGTATCAAAATATGTTCAATGACTGTGTAAATAAGTGTGATGTTGTACATGTCCAGTGCAGGCTTGGTAAGAATTGTCTGAATGCCAAGGTTCTTGACTTATAGAGAAATGAAATTAGTATTTAAAATTGTTTTCCTAGTCTCTGTTGAAAAATTTTGGCTTGAAAAATCACATAAAGAGTAAAATGGACCCTGACCAGTTTGGCTCAGTGGATAGAGCATCGGCCTGTGGACTGAAGGGTCCCAGGCTCGATTCCGGTCAAGGGCATGTACCTTGGTTGCGGGCACATACCCAGTGGTCGGGGGGGGCGGTACAGGAGGCAGCTGATCGATGTTTCTCTCTCATCGATGTTTCTAACTCTCTATCCCTCTCCCTTCCTCTCTGTAAAAAATCAATAAAATATATTTTAAAAATAAGAGTAAAATGGAGGCAGATATTAGACTTTTACCAACTAAAGTTTGATTCTTAACTATTACTATATAGTGTGTACCTTTTTGAACTCACTGCATTTGAAGAAATGATTTCTTTCATTATAAAATTGGTGTAGGAACTAATTAACTCCAAAAAGTGTTCAATGAGTAAATATGAATTGCTTCATTTTTTTAAGTCAGTACAGGGACATAGGTAGAAATAGGCACTTTGTGTCCTTCAAGAATTGTTACTTAATTGAATGAGTAATAGTCATGTTCCCAGAACCCAGAGTACAAAAACATCTCCTGTTTGCTTGGGAATGGCAAGCAGAAGAAAAATGCCCCGGGAGGACCATGTTGTACCCAGGGCCCCTAGAGCCACAAACACACTAAAACAACTCATCAGGATTGTGCCCTTTTTGGCTTTACCGGTAGCTTACCTCTCCTCTCCTCTCCTCTCTAGGCTGCCCCATCCAAGGTCACCCTACCCCCAATATCACCTGGTTCCATGGTGGCCAGTCAGTTGCCACTGTCACAGGATTGACACATCACATCTTGGCAGCTGGACAGATTCTCCAGGTTGCCAATCTAAGCAGCGAGTCTCAGGGGGAATTCAGCTGCGTCGCCCAGAACGAGGCAGGCGTGCTCGTGCAGAAGGCCTCTCTTATCATCCAAGGTAAGAACCCTTGGGACTTTGGGTGCTGGGCTTATTTCTTGAACAAGTGAGTCCCCCTGAGAATCTAGTTCTGTAGTGGACGAAATGACTTCTGGTCTCCAATGGTCCCTAGAATGTGAAAACTGACACTGAACCATGTTTCCATCCCATGAGGCCCCACAGCAGCAGAATCTGGAAGAGTCAGTGCTGCTCTCATAGGTGGGACCCAGGAAACACCATCTTGTAGTAAAGTCAAATGCATTTCCTTTACGCTGGGTGAATTTGTAAAGAAAACACACAGTTGAGTGTAAAGTAGCCTGTTACGAAAAATGCAAATTTTGTCTGTTGGTTTGGTTCCGAAATAAGACAGATTTTGAACCACTTGGTTATTGCCTCCGGCCCTGGAGAGTCAGGGCCGGTGCCGGTACCCGCCCATCACCCTGGAGCCTTCAGCTGTGTCACACACTGAGTGCTCTCCAGGTTCCTCTCCCGTGAGCCAGTCAAAGACCAGACTGAGAAGCCTGTGTGGCTGGTGCATTCAACTTTCAGGAACACTGGCGGCTCAGAAAGCCCTTGGGCAGGGCCTGGTATTTGCTGCACCAAGAAAGTATGGATGAGTCCAATACAGTGAGAGGGGAGCCATCACTGGCCTTGTCATAGAAACTGAAGGAGGCTCTTGAGTTTTCCATAGGCCGGTTGTACCTGTGGTCGGTGTGTGACACTTTCAGGGAAAGCAAAATTCCACTGTGTATTCTGAATGGAGGATTCTGTGGGAGGCGACAGACTTGTATGTCAATATAGCCCATAAAAAGGGAGACCTCTGAGCACATCCTCCCCCTTTTTCCCTTAAACATCCTCCCCCACCATTTGGCTTTCCAGACAAGAAAGTGAGTATTCCATTGTCTTGCCAGCCAGCCATTCTCTGGTGGAAACCGGAGCCTATCTGCAAGATTTGTAACACGCAACTTTGCAAATAAGCACTCACAGTTTACCAGCCCACAGTTATTTTAACAGCTTCCCTGCCAGTGAGTCCCAGGCCCCCCACACAGAAAATGCAGAGAAATTGCCTTTCTCACTGTCTGGTTACGTCGGTGACTCACGTCATCGAGGGCTCTCTGGGTAGGTTGGTTTTTCGTAGCAGCTACAATGTCCAACTTGAATCTGCACTTTTAAATACGATTGTGAAGTATCTCTGATATTTTTCTCTCTCTTGTTGAAAAACATGGTCACTTTCTGGTGAGCCAGTTGGAAAAAAAAGAGTGCTTTAAGAAGTATGTTTAAAAAGAATAAGAGCTGCAGCCGCTGATTAATACTCTCTCTGTGCCAGGCCCTGGGCGAGGCTCTTGACCTTCGTTCTATCCAGGCCTCATAATAACTTGAGGTTATTAAGAGCTATTGTGCTCATTTTCTGGGTGAGCCAACGGAGGGCTCTGGAGACCACATAACTTGCCTGGATAAACTGAGGGGCCAGGCTCATTCATAACAACCATCCCCCTCCTCCCCCAGCGCCCTATCAGAAGAAATATAGAGCATGGGCAGTAATGCTCTCTGCTTTTCACCTTCTGTGACAGATTACTGGTGGTCTGTGGACAGACTGGCAACCTGCTCCGCCTCCTGTGGGAACAGGGGCGTTCAGCAGCCCCGCCTGCGGTGTCTCCTGAACAGCACAGAGGTCAACCCCGCTCACTGCGCAGGGAAGGTCCGCCCTGCCGTGCATCCCGTCCCCTGCAACCGGAGAGACTGCCCTTCCCGGTGAGTGAGGCAGAGGCTGGCTCAGGCCTCCCCGCCCCCCAGTAAGGACCCCGGCTTTTAGCCAAGTTGGTGGCCAGCCCTTCCTTGTCTAGCACGATGCAAGGGGGGACTTCAGTGCAGAGAGGGACGTGCCCTCCAAGGAGCTGCTCTTTCCTACAAGCACAGCTTTATCCAGACTCGGCACTCTGCAGAAACTACCCCTCACCTCTCAGGGCTTCCCCGGGCATCCCTGTACCTGAAAGGCTCTGTTCAGGGAGCAGGTACATCCCAGGCGCTGGCAAGAGATAGCTCGCATCCTGCAGTGAGAAACTGGCTCTGTTTGTAGGAGAAGAAATGTGTTTGCAGCTGAAGTGCTCAGGGATGGGAATTACTGCCTTGACCTCTATCCTTCCCCTTCCTTCGAACTTTAAATACCTATGCTAATCAATACTTCATCTTAGTCGAAGAATCTGATCCCCTTCTTTTCCCCAAACAGTGGCATCCTGCTAACATTGAACTACGTCTTCATTTCCTTAGTTGCCTCAATGTTGGCTAAACATTGTCTGCATCTGGGTCCCTCACAGAGCCCAGACTGACACCCACAGTCTCTGCCTCTCACAGCTTCCTCGAGCTTTGAGAAGCTGTGAGTCCCACTGAGCATGCCCACCGCAGTCCTCAGTCAGTAGCTGCAGGGATAATGGATGGGCTTCGAGTTGGCACCAGCATGGTGCCCTGAGCCTGGGGGGACTTGGCTGGTCCCTGAAATGCCCCTCCACTGCCTAGCTGTAGGGCTTGCGTACACCACTTAGGCAACCGCCTCGTGTTTTGCCAGCTGAGTCATGAGGAGCAGCTGAAACCAGGAGAGACTCAATGAAATATGAAACACGCTCATTAATATCAGCAGTTTGACTTGCTGACGGGAAGGTTTCCACGGGAATGATTAATGTCCTTTTATACCCTTCCTGAACTGTAACATAGCCCGTACCTCTCCTCTCTCAAACCCCTCGCCCCGGCTCCTGAAAAATTGCTGAAATGTATATTTGGAAATAAAAGTTGATTGAAATGCAGGCCTGACATTCACCAGGGATATGCGAGCCTGGAAGACTGCCCTTGCCAAGCTGTGTGAAATGAAGAAGCGGTCTCGGACATGCCAGGGGCTTTCTGATTTGCTGGGGTGATAGTCAGAGTCAATCAGCCTCATTTACTTCTGCAGATGAAATAACGGCCGCGTCTGGTAGGGTTTCAGGCCCCCAGGAGCTTTCACACGCCTCGCGCCTGCTTCCTAAGTGGCTCTGCTTCTGTGGGCTGGAATTCTGCGCGCAGTCCTCTCTCTCCGGGGCAAACGGAGCAGGGAAGTTCCACCAAACTAAATAAATCACAGATCCAGGCGCTGGAGGAATTGGCCTCCTGTCCCCGCTCCTGGCCTCTCCTGAGAGCCAGACTAGGAAGAGAGACTGCACTAGGAAGTGGCCACAGGTTCACCTTTGAGTGGCTGTCCCACCTCGGGCACTTCAGCAGCCTTCCTTGCAGATGCAAAAAAAAAAACAGGCGGGGTGGGGGGGAGGCACCCTGGTCCTCTCTTTTGAATAGCTGTGGGCAGTCCTGTGTGGGCCCACACAGGACCATTTCATTTAGACAAACTTTTTCTCGGGCAATAAAACCAAAGAATGCTCCCTCCCACCCTCCAGTTTGAGTGAAATGGTTGGAAAGCACCGTCTTTTCTCACTGTTTTCCCCAACCTATCCCCCCTTCCCTCCTCCTCTCTGAGAATTATCCTAGGGCGTAAACATGCAAAGAGAGCCCCTGCATGTTTGTACATGGACCGGGGATCTCAGGGTTTGCCAGCTGCCATCTGGGCTCTATGAAAAAAGCCATGTTTCAGTGTTGGCCAGTCTCACTTCCAAGGATCCGAACTATAGTTGGAACCAAGTATTCTGAGGACAACTCCTTTCAGCTCTCTAAGAGGTGCAAGACCTACGGACCGTGACTCAGAGAGGGGGGACATAGCTCCAGAGCGCTGGAAGGAGCTTGCATGCTCCTGAGGGACAACATCAGAGACATGGGTTAAGGCGAGGCAGAAAATACAGTGGGTACCAGCAGAAACAATGTGGGCTTCAGTGAGACCCAGGTTGCTCCTGGGTCAGGAGGTGAGTGGAGTGGTTGGGAAGCACAGGTTTGGATGGGACTTCCCTGGGAACTGTCTCTCCTCTGCCGCACACCAGGTGCCAGTAAGAAGTATGAGAACTGCAGAGCCGTGTAACTAGCTCAAGACTTTCTGCAGGCTCATGGCTTTGGGGCCAATGTCAAGCTGAAGCCACTGATCTTCAAAATATGCTTTCAGGATACACCTTTTTAGTCCATTTCCAAAGGGTATTTGTTTCCTGTGATTGCTGTAACAAATGACCACAAACATGGTAGCTTAAAACAACGGAAATTTATTCTCTCTCGGTTTTGAAGCCCGGAAGTCCAACATCAAGGTGTCAGCAGGGTTGTGCCCCGCCAAAGGCCCTAGGGCAGCATCTGTTCCTTGGCTCTTGCAGCTTCTGATGCCTCTGAGCATCCCTCGGCTTGTGACCACATCACTCCCTCTTCTGCCTCTGTGAGCACACTGTCGTCTCCTCTTCTGTGTGGAATCTCCCTCTGTCTTTCTCTTACAAGGATACTTGTGATGACGTTTAAGGCCTAACCAGATAACCTAGGATAATCCCCAAATCCCTCATTATATCTGCAAAGCCCCTCTGTCCAAATAAAGTAACATTCACAGGTTCCAGGGATTTGCCGGAGGTTTCTTTGGGGCGGCCATTTTCAGCCTATCACTCCAAGTACATACAGTAAAAAGGGCCATGGCCCCCAAATGAGCAGCTGTGTGGTGAGAGCCTGGGGGGGCGGCGCTCTTTTCCTGAGAGCATACAGCCTCGTTCCTTTCCCCGAGACTGACACCTCCTCCTCTCCACAGGTGGATGGTGACCTCCTGGTCCGCCTGTACCCGCAGCTGTGGGGGAGGCATCCAGACCCGCCGGGTGACCTGCCAGAAGCTGAAAGCCTCTGGGATCTCCACTCCCGTGTCCAATGACATGTGCACACAGCTTGCCAAGAGGCCGGTGGACACCCAGGCCTGTAACCAGCAGCTCTGTGTGGAGTGGGCCTTCTCCAGCTGGGGCCAGGTGAGAGGAATGTATCTGACAGGTAATCTCAGGGTGCTGACCCTGCAACAGTAGGAGGTGCCTCGTATGTGATCTATCCGGGAATATGTTTCATGTGCACTGAGAACAATGTGTCATCTGAAGTTTGGGGATGAAATGCTCTCTAAATGTTTATTAAGTCAAACTGGTCTAATGTGGCACGTACAGCAGTTATTTTCATACTCATTTTCTGTCCGGATGATCTGTCCATTGAAGTAAGTGGAGTAGTAAAGTCCCCAACTATTATTGTATTACTGTGAATTTCTGCCTTTATGTCCATTAATGGTTGCTTGATATTCTTGGGTGCCCTTCTGCAGAGATATTTACAACTGTTACATCCTCTTCTCGGATTAACCCCTTTAAAATTATGTAATGTCTTTCTTTTTAGATTCTTTGTTTTAAATACTATTTTGTCTGATATGAGTATTGCTACTCCAGCTTTCTTTTCAATCCCAATTGCATAAATTCTTATTCCGAGTATGTCTTTCTTTATAAAATGAATCTCTTATAGGCAGCATGTGTATTGGGTTCATTTTTTTAATCCATTCTGTCACCCTGTCTTTTGATTGGGATCATCTAGTCCCTTACATATAATATATTGATAGGTGTGTGCTTAATTCCCATTTTGTTGTTGTTCTCTGTGCCTTTATTCTGCTCTTGATTTCTTTGATTTGTTGGTTTTCTTTAGGGTTTTGATTGGATTTCTTTCTCTTAGTTTTTTGTGTGTTTTTTATGGGTTTGGTTTATGGTTACCATAACGTTCATATATATTCATCTATAGCTACAGCAGTCTATTTTAAGCTGATAGGCATTGAAAGTTCAATTGCATTCTAAAAGCACTACATTTTTACACCCCTTCCATTCTTTATTTTGACATGTTTAAATCTTTTTGTTTTGTGTATCCCCTGATTATTTATTGTATGTTTAGTTAATTTTGCTGCTATTAAATGTTTGATTTACTGTAGTTATTATATATTTGCCTTTACCAGTAAGATTTTTTTTTCTTTCCTGTATTTTCTTATTTCTAGTTATGGCCTTTTCTTTCTGCATAAAGAAGATCCTTTAGCATTTCTTATAAGGCTGGTTTAGTGGTCGTGAACTCCTTTCGTTTTTGCATAAGCAAATTCTAGGTGGTAGAATACTATACTTTCAGCACTTTGAATATTTCCTGCCATGCTCTTCTTGCCTGTAAAATTGTTTCTGTGAAATCAGCTGATAGCCTTATGAGTTTTCCCTTGTGACTCGCTTCATTCTTGCTTCCTTTAAGACGGTGTCTTTATCTTTACTTTTGCTATTTTAATTACAATATGTCTTACTATGGGTCTCTTTGGGTTCATTTTGTTTGGCACTCTCTGTGCTTCCTGGACCTGGATGTCTGTTCACGTCCCCAAATTTTTTTTATTTTTAGAGAGAAAGGGAGAG